TTCTACGATAATTTAGGAATGCTTCATAGTTATTGTTTTGGTTTAAGTTCAAGTCGACATGAAATTTTAATTTTCAAAATAAATTCCTCCATGTACATGTATTTATGGCAATTTCATAGGTGCAAATCATGTTATGTTGTAGTTATGGATATGAACTGGTTTAATGATTTATTTGATGATGAGTATGATAATGTTATGAATAATGTTGTTCAACATATGTCAAATAGTTTTGGTGGGAAAAGTATTGGAAGTGATTTTGGATGTAGTAGTAGTACTGATAATGAAAACAATACTAATAATGATGATGACGACAACGATGTAAATAAACACGATGATGATAAGAAAGATGATTTGTGTTAGCTTAGAGAGTATGATCACAATAAATTAATATTATGAATTGTTGGAGCACTTGCTTTATATTATAATAATTATATTTATAAAAAAAAACATGTATGATTTCATATAACATAAGAATAAGATGATTGAATGAAATTTTTAGACAGGCATTGTGTTAATATGTTTCGGATGGATGCAAATACATTGCAGAGTGTGTGTTGATTTGAAAACGTTATGCAGGCTAAAGCAGTCTAGAATGAAGAGTGTTATTGAGAAGGTAGGCATGTTTCTATATACTTTACCTTTATGAGCTTCAAACAAGGAAGTTCATGTGAGATTTCAACATTCAAATGAAATCGTAAGCAGATATTTCAATGAAGTTCTCAGGTCGATGTGTTTGCTAGCTGTTGATTTTATCAAATTGGTAAATCCAAAATTCTCAACGACAACACCAATGAAAATTGCAATGAATCCAAGATATATGCCACATTTTAAGGTGAAAAATACTTTATCTATGTTGTTAAATAATTGAAAAGGTTATAAACAAATATTTATAGTACATTTAAATTGATTTGTAAACTTTTTTTTTTGTAAAATTATATTGGAGCGATTGATGGAACACATGTTCTTGCATGTGTATCACTAAAAAACCAACTATCATTTATTGGTAGAAAAGATATACCAACTTAAAATATAATGATAGTATATAGCTTTGACATGCAATTTATATTTATTTAGGTTGGGTGGGAAGGTAGTGCATACGATACAAGAATATTTCTTTAGGTGATTGACAATCCAAATATCAGATTTTTGAAGCCACTAGAAGGTATTGAGAAATAAAAAAAAAGGTGTTGTTCAATTTGAATAATTTTATTTTTTGTTTGCAATAGGAAATGAGTTTTGAATTATCATTATCTTAATGCAGAGAAGTATTATCTTATTAATTTGGGATATCTAAATGAGTATGGTTTCTTGGAGTCATATAGACGTGAGAGATATCATCTTCTAAAATTTCATCCATAAGGACAGCTGCAAAGTTGGGAAAAAATATGCAACCATGTTCATTCATCATTATAATGTATAATAGAACATATATGTAGAGTTTGGAAGAAAATGTGAAGAATCTTGCAAAGCATACTTGTGTTTGCTTACAAAACATAAGTTCAAATTGTTGTTGTATCAATGGCATTACACAACTACATTCAAAGGAAGTCCATCCAAGATATTGCATTTAACAAGTTTGATCGTTATCCTGATTTTGTTCCTGCTGATACTTTAACCGATATGGTTCCACAATCACAAACATATAGGCACTAGAGGGCTTCACGTATGGATTATATTCGTGATGAGATTGTAACAAGTTTAATAGGGCAATAATGTTATTTTTCCAAATAATAAATTAATTTATATTTTTTTTAGTTATTTTATATACAATATCAATTTTAACCAAACATATCATGCCATGATTTTTATCGAAATAAAATCAAATAATAATGTTAACCAAACACACATTTTATATGAACCAACCACAACAAAAGTAATATTTTTAAAATTATTTTTTTCAAACCATAACCATAACAATTACCACAAAAACAAACATACTCCGAACGTAGTTGTGGTTGTTTTTCAAAGTATATTTTACTCAGAAATATATTAAAATATTTTTTAAAAAAATTATTTTTAATATCAACTCATTAAAATGATCTGAAAAAAAATATCAATTTGAAGTAAAGAAAAGAATAAAAAAAGTTTAATTTTTTTCAAATATGTTTTTGAAACATAAAAACAAACAGATCTTATCTCTATAAACACAAGCATGTGTTTCAAATGTAACCAAATACCTTATTTTCATTGCTTGTCTTAGTGATAAGAGTTGTTACAAAAATAAATATAATTTTAGATAGTGTTTGAGATTACAACAGCGGTTATTTTTTTAAAAATTTTTTATTTAAAAAAATATTATAACAATATTTTTTTTACTTTTTAAAATTTATTTTAACATCAATTATCCAAAAATATAAGAAATTTACTATGAAAAACAAATTTTAAAAATTCTCAAAAACATTTTCTAACAAGAAAAACAAACACAAAAAGCTCACCCTTTTCTTCTTATTTAACACGTGAGCAAAACTTTAGCTTGTGATTGAAAAAAGAAAAATGTATTTTCTGAAGTTTAGTACACGATAAATTTATCTATGCATCTAGTAAGATCCTCTCTCACGATTCTCCAATTTATTCTATTTTTTAATGGAAAAAATCATTTAACAGTTTAACTACAAAATAAGCTATTCCCTCATTAAAAGTTTATCATCTCATGAATTTTTCAGAGGAAAGTTATTATAAAATAAAAGAGATAATAACATGCTTGAACTTTGATAATTTCACAACCGAGTGTCAATATTTATTTTTTAAAATAGAAGTGTAGACTTTCAAAATTATAGCAACCAAGTAAAAATTTGTCGGATATAACATGAAAATCTTGCCTAGGTGTAATAATATGGAAGGATATAACATGAAAATCTTGCCTAGGTGTGTCGTTTTAGTAGTTTTAAAAATGAATAAATAATATGGAGAGATTCGACGAGGGATAAAAACATTTTTTGGAATAAAATTATATAGAATTAAACATGCTCAACGGTTATTAACAAACTAAGTAATTAGTTTTTAAAATCAAATGAACTACTTTATTTGTTCTGCAAAACTAGAAGAACTAATTTATAATACACTTCAGGAAGGAACATAGCTTTTCAGTGCAAGTTTTTTCCAATGTTAAAATAAAGTGCAGTATACTTTCATTTTAACATTTGTTATTAAACAGTGAAAGTCCAATACACTAAGATTTTAACATTTAATGTTCCTTGAGACACTAGTTCTTGTGGGGGTAGCATTTTTACCCCATCTTATGTACACTAAACCGAACTGATCAAAATAATTCTTTAAAAAACTTTCTTGGTCATTAACTCGTAAATTAGGCACCAATACCCAACAAGGTATTGTCTGAATATTCATGTAAGCTAACAATTGCAATATCTGTATGTTCAACCATTTTCTTGTTAGCTTGCTTTGACAGTATTGCTTGCTATTCACTAAACTGATCGACCTCTGGCAGAGCTCGGCATTCAAATATTAACCTTACAATTGCTTTGAGTCTCTAAATGCCGGTTTCCGTCCTAAATCCCTAGGAGAACCCTGCACGGACGGAGGAACCCTGACATTCGAGCACTATAATTGATTGGACCACCATGATAATATTTCATCGCCTCAATTTGAGTTCGTTCGTTTCTATAATGGCTAGTGCAACTTCAACCTCGATTCCCACTAGAAATGAACAAGCTCATTTGATAAACCCAGTAAACCTGATGCTATAGAATCTGACTTTCACTCCTCAATCCCCCCAATGTAACAAATACAAACGGTATTTCCAAAATGTAGGATTCGCAGCTAGAAACATTAAAACCGCAAGTCCATTGGATGAAACAAGACAGCTCTGAAAACACATACAAATAGGCCAAAATTCAAGCACGCCAAAGAGTCAATGACAAGAGACGGGTACCAAACTCTATAAGAATATTGCTGGCAGGCATGGTTAGAATGCCATGCCAAAGGAAATTTTACAATCACTCGTGCCAAAGAGTCAATGACAAGAGATGGATACCAAACCCTATTATGGAAGAATATTGCTGTCAGGCATGGTTATGATGCCATGCCAAAGGAAATTTTACAATCACTCGGGAGTGATTTAACGGACAGAATCTCCATAAAGCACAAAACACCAGGGCCTTGACAAAGCAGGTGGAACCAAATTGCTGATACGCAAGTATAGGTGATAGCAGACAGTCATATTATAGTCCATGCACAAAAATTCCTAATAACATATTAATTTATCAATAAAATGAGTATTTGTATTTCTTACTGATGGAAATGATAAACATTTGCAAACAAGTGATACCAAAACATTATAAATATAAAACAGTATTTGTGAGGAAAAATCAGCAAGCACACCAGAATGTCTTCACACTATTGTTAAAATCTCCAGTCACTAATGCTAAAATAAATAATGCAGAAGGAATACGAGCAATAGGTTTGGTAGAAAACCCACCAAACAGCATTAATTTATTGAAAAATGAATTTCAGGTGTGGATTCATAGAGTCCCTCAAGTCTACTGCAATGAGCTAGATCAATACATGACTACTGGTATTCTATTTCCTTCTCACAAGCAAAATGCGTCATGATTGGAAATCAAATCTGATCAAATTCCTATAAGAACCTTGTAAATAAGACACTTAACGAGAGAATGTGACAGGGCATATCCCAAAAGAAACCAACCATCGAGAGAATGTGACAGGGCATACTCCAAAAGAAACCAGCACCGAGAAATAAATCAGACCAAATTGCATGTTCTTGCAATGCATATAAACTTCAATTGCCTGATTGGAAACGAAACTTTCAAGGGCAGTTTCATTTGCAATTCAACTCTGTAAAAAATATTCACTCAGTAAAAAATTGAATGGCAACCAAAGATTTTTATATCCATGGGAAAAAGAACCCTCAAAAACAAGTCAGCATTAGGAAAAGTAAGGTTCCATATTCACAAAGCACCACAGTGAAATTAGCATCATCAAACAATCAATTCAATTCGACCCAGCCATGAATGCAAGAGACAAAGCCATAAATAAGCCAATACCAATAGATTTATAAGAAAAACATAAAGTATCCATAATATCAAACGGTCCAACAATATCACTAATCTCTTGAATTTAACAAAATCAAGGACAGCTCAAAATCTTAAAATCCTCACCTAAGCAGTAAGCACAACAGCTCCCCCAGCCTCTTTAATCTTCTTCTCGGCAATCTTCGAAATAAGCTTGGCCTTGACAACGATTGGTTGCTTCTCAGGCAAAACCCCCTTCCCAAGAACTTTGAAGTACCCGAACTGAGTGACATCGATCATCGGCACAGTATCCTTGGTTGCCTTGTCCTTAACATCCTGAGGGACCATGGACCAGAGCTTGTCGATGTTCACGATCGGACAGTGGAACTTGTTGCGGAGCTTGTGGAAGTAACGCATACCGACTTTTCCAAAGTAACCAGGATGGTACTTGTCGAATAGAATCCGGTGGTGGTGCATTCCTCCAGCATTACCACGACCTCCTGGATGCTTCCTGTGCTTGCCGATACGTCCATGGCCAGCACTGACGTGCCCTCTCTTCTTCCGGTTCTTCTTGAAGCGGGTCGTCATTTTTCGGTGAGAGGGGTAGATATCGGTTGTCTAGGGTTTGAACGGCTGCGGAGAGACCAGAGTAAACGGTCTTAGGGTTTGGAAAATATATGTGTGCGAAAGAAAATGTGTGGGAATTTTGGTTGACGATTTTGTCCTCCGGTTTTGGATGTGGCAGCGGCAGCGGTTAGGGTTTCAGAAAATGGGCTTTAAATCACTGGACCATAAATTCTGAGCTGGGCTTCTCTCATGCTCGTTCCACTTCTTTTTCTCTTGCTTTTTCCTTATCTTTTTTTTATGCTCACAGTGATTAAAGTTTTTGTATTTTTTCACCGAATACATATAAAGAAATTAATCAGTTAATTCAAATAAATAAGGATCATTGTTCATGGACTGGTAAAGGTAGATTTAAAAGACTTGGTGAGTCTGATAACACAAGTACAAGAAAAATATTTAAAATCTTCAATTACATAGTATTTATTTAGATAAAAAATGTTTTGTTGAAATCAATTATTTAACACATAAAAATATATACCATCGTGTTTTATATATATATATATATAATTGTAGCATGCTCCACGTCATTTGTAATTAAAATGAGGGGTATCATAGAAAAAATATAATGATTATTTCTTTATGAAAACCAATCATTTTAAAATTCATAGAATCTATATCAATTACTAATTGATTAACACCTTAATTTATGTATAAATTTAATATAAAATATTTGTTTGTAAACTTTTTTTCTTTGTCTTTTGTTTTTTAATAAATCGGTATGTTTGTACTAATTTATATGTATCATGATTAATTTTAGAGTTCACTAAATATCTTATAAACTCAATAAATAAATAAAATATCATGAAAATAATAGATATATTAAAAAAAAAAACGAATCCAAATACAAAAAAAACCAAGTGTCTTTCTCTATCAGGTCACGACATCAAATGCAATTTTCTTTAAATAGATTGAGAAGATGGTTATCTCTTTTGCGAGACTCATGAAGAAATAATTTTCCTTAAATAATAAATTTTTTTACTTACCACTAAATTAGTTCAATGATATTAATTAATTAGTTATCATATGCAATTTAAAAAATAGAAATATTGTTGATTTTTATATTATTCAACTATGAAATATAATTGCTACGATGTGACGATCTAATAAATAGAACTATTATAACAAATAGAAAAAAGAGATTATTACACTTAGATTTGTCAATTGTCGTAGTTTGAGCATGCCTGCATTAATGGGTAAATAGGAGGAAATTTTACAAATATTGACCAAGTTCTTACCACTTGGCCACCACCTAGATGGTTAGGAGATATCAATCTTAATCCTGAGTAAGTTATATCCTCAAGAAATAGGAGGAATGTTTTGTCCTCACAAGAAAGAATGAAATGTTTTTGTTTTTATGCTTTGCTGAACAGACAAGGTTAGACCCGCATAGTTAACGAATCTTCATCCTAGCTTGGGTTCCATTGTAGAATCTTCAACTTCACCGCCGAGCCCTTTGATGGCCTCGAGTCATGTTATTAATTTTCCTGGTACCGATATCATCTGGAATAGTAATATCTGGACCAAAGTAATATTTGACATCAACGTATTTTGTACTCTTCAAAAATATTTGACATTTTTATTAGATATAAATAATAATATAATCATCATAATACATTAATTGATGATATCTTGACAAAATGTGTATATCGTGAGAGATATAAAGATATGAATATTTTTTTACTTTAATTATTTATGTTACAGGTAATCACAAAAACAAAAAATCTTGTGATAAAATCCAAAAAGATCATCAATTTACATTTTTTAAGGTTTAATGAGATATTAAATCTAAAAATATTAGGTCTCATCATTTATTATATTTATATGTATCTTATAATTTATTATATTCATATGTGTTTAAACTTAAAGCGTGATTAAATCAAAAGATAGTAAATCTAAAAATACTGGGTTTAGTGTGTTTTATATGATCACATACTCATATTTAGAAATATATTGGGGAATTTCTTTGAAAATATGTGTCTAAAAACCCTTAAAAAATTATTAAAAATTTATATGGATCCAACGTATATTTTTAGAAAAATATTTATCAAATTTTGATAGGAATCAAGCTTTAAATTTTGACAAACCTTTAAAGGATATGCCCCTTGCTTGGAATTAGGAAGAAATTCAATTTGTTAGTATATCTTTATATTTTCTAACGAATCATTAAGATAGTGTTGAGATTACATGAAGATTGATGTTATTATAATGCATGGATGAAGTCCTTCTTTCTTTTTTTTTCCTTGGAGTTGTGAGGTTATTATCCTAATGATATTGTGTCTATTCTTATTGTTAAAATAATGTTTATCCTATCCTTGAAGAGTTGTGTGATCATACTTAGAAGATTATGTTAATCATTTTCATGGTAAATTTTACAATTACATTAAGGAAACCATATCAATCTTTTTTATGATTATTATCATATATCAAAGTTTACTGTATAAATATCATAAGAAGATTTTATATTTTTAATATGAAATTAAAAGTTTATTAGTATATATACTTTATGTTTACGAGAAAAAAATTATTTTAGCATGAAATAAAAAATATTTTTAGTTTAAATACTTCAACTAAAAAAAAAGATAAAAAATATTTAGAAATAATAATATTTTTAATTTTATTATTTATAATAGTTTTACCTCAAATTCAGATTACATTACTATCTTTATAAACAACCCTCATGTTTCCCATTAAATTAGGTCTTTTTATTTCATAGTTGGGTTATGTTTCATCATAATTACATTACTATCTTTATAAACAACCCTCGTGTTTCCCATTAAATTAGATCTTTTTATTTTATAGTTGGGTTATGTTTCATCATATTTAATATAGAATGAATACCATTTAGATAATAAAACAATCAAATGATTTTACATTAATTTCATTGAAAACTCTTTCTTGGACATTAGTTAAGAAAAAAACTAAAAACATATTTTTTAAAAAATTATAATCATAAAAGTTATAACAATGCTAAATAATACTAATAAGCTATTTGGTTTTGCAATTCAGCCTTGTTTTAAAAAAATCTTGATTTATTTTATTTTTAATTATTTTTTTTGTTGTTTTTAGATGATTCTAATATATTAATATTAAAAATATATAAAAAAATTATTTTAATATGGATTAAAAACACTTAGAATTTTTTTTATTAAGAATTAATTAAAAAACACACGTGCTAATAGCTGCAGTGAGCCCGAATTTTTGGCACCTCACGTCCAAATAGCAAGCAGGCATCGAGCTCTATCAACAATGTACGTACAATCCTCTCTTTCTAATGCTCCTGGTGCCTACAACTCCACGACATCAGAACATATTAGCAGTAAAAAACAGCAGCTAAAAAGCTCCCCCTTCTTCCTAAAACTCGAGAAGCCCTAATCTAGATGTCGAAACCAAACGAGCCACAGAGATGATCACTGGTTCACGGAGAAATTAATTAAAGAATAAAAAATTGATTTGGAAAAGGAAGAAAGAAACAGTTTACAAGGGGCTACCACCGGCTTGGTAATTAACCAGTCTAATAACCTCGTTATTTTTAATCCGATGGTTATTAATGACCTCTCAAATAATTCAACTGAAGACTTGCTTAAGAAACACTCCTTGGCAACCAAATTTCACAACGCAAAGTTGCAAAAAGAGAAGAAAGCGGTGCACTCCTCTTACTTCTCCATTTCTTCAATCATATATTCATGGCTGTGCTGATTTGCAGCAGCAATGTCAACTTCTTAAAGCCTCGCCTGCTCTCTTCGCCTCACCACCACAAATATAAGCAACGTCGTCTAATCCGTACCTGTAGGAACCTCGTCCGTTTAGACACCGGTACCGGATTTCAATTTTCCCTTCATAATAATAATAATAATAGAAGAAGAAGACCACTTCCCCCAAAATCTTCATCTTCTTCTTCATCATCATCAGTAAACGGCTATGGCAGTAACATAGAACAGTATTATGGCAGCGAGCAGCGGGTGGAGAGAGAGGAAGGTGTTGAGTTAAACGAGAGGATTCGGAGATTTATCGAGTTTCTTCCGTCAATTTTGCCTGGAGGAAACTGGTGGAGCTTTTCTGATGAGGCGGATATTAAAATTTTGGCCAAACCGGTCACCGTGTGGCGTGCACTTACTCGCATGTGGCATCTTGTGGCTCAGGATCGTTGGGTCATTTTCACCGCCTTTACTGCTCTCATTGTTGCAGCGGTGCGTTTGATTTTCTTGAATTTAATTAATTAATTTTAACTAGTAGGAGTAGTGCTTAATTTGTGCACGTGCTTGTGGTGGGCTCAGCTTTCGGAAATCTCAGTACCGCATTTCTTAACGGCATCGATCTTTTCAGCCCAGACTGCAACCGTTGCAGTATTCCACCGAAATGTGCGTCTCTTGGTAGCCCTATGTGTTGTAGCTGGAATTTGCAGGTTAAAATCTTGTATGGTAAAAAATCCCCTTCTCCCGTAGCTTGCATGCTAATAAAGCATGGCCGTCTGATACATGGTTAATGCAACAATTTCCTACATTGAGCTTTCAATTTGACAGCTGCTGACACTGGCCTTGTTTATTTGAAATTCAGTGGAATACGGGGTTGTTGTTTTGGCATTGCAAATATGATCCTGGTGAGTCACTCCCTGGTGGTTAACCTCTCCGGTTTCTACACTAGCATTTCACTTGTTGGTCCTATCAGTTGTGTTATGCCAATGCCAGAGTTCATATCGTTGGTAGTTCCGAGTTACATTCTAAAATTGCTTGCTTAGCTTAAAGAAGATGTTTAGACATGAGTTTTTCAAGATACTACTAGAGAAGAGCTGTTTTGTGAAACGCTATCTCCTGTGAAGTATCGTTATGACTTCTGTAGTATTTTGTAGGTGAAGCGAATGAGGGAAACATTATATTCTGCTCTTCTTCTCCAGGTTTGTTATACTCTGATCAGCACTACTGCTTTGTACGTCCTCTAATGCGATTCCAGGCAGTGCTTGTTTGGATATAATGGTTTATGGATTAACTTATGATTGTGGTGTATCTTTTGTAGGATATATCATTTTTTGACAATGAAACAGTCGGTGATTTGACA